GGAATTAGATACATTGCTCCTACTGTGCTAAAGAAAAGTGTCACCACCAAAAGATGCATAGATATAGTGTTGAAGCCCTTCCTACAATTCCCTTTACTGGAGGATTTCATCAAAGTATAAATCACAGTGCTATAGGATAGCATAACAAATAATACATTGCTTAAAAACAGAATGTTCACAATAATTTGACAAATCAATGGAGCTTTTCCAAATGGAGGACAAGCCACAGATAGCAGCGGAACAAGGTCACACAGAAAATGGTCAATAATGTTGGGTCCACAGAAGGATAACTTAGAAATCAAAACAACAGGTGTGATGTACCCCAAGAAACCAAGGATCCAACAAATGGTTACCAGAATATAACAGGAATGTGGGGACATGATGTTCTGGTACTGTAATGGGTAGCAGATGGCTAAGTATCGATCTAAAGCCATGGCTGAAAGGAAGAAGAATTCAGTGGTGCCAAGAGAGAACAAGAGATAGAACTGGAGGAAGCAAGCATGGAAAGAGATAACCTGGTTATGGGTCGCAAGATCAAAAATCATACGGGGAATTGTGCTGGTCACATAGCACATCTCCAGCCAGGAAAAGTTTCTCAGAAGGATGTACATGGGAACTTGGCCCAGATGGGTATATCGACAGACCAGGGTTATAATGGTGCTGTTTTCAACCAATGTTAGAACATAAAGTATAATCAAGAATACAAGCAATAAGAAGCGTTTTTGCTGATCCATTCCAAATCCCAGCAAAATGAATTCCTGGGCTGCAGTCCCATTGACCAACTCCATCTGGAATCATATAAGTTTACATATCTCAAGGTAACTATTTTATTGATCAAAAACCTGACTAAATATTATACCTTGTACTAATGACATCTTAAATAGTAAACTTAGATAATCATAACACTTTTACAGAAGTTCAAGAAACTATGAATTTCGCCAATGTTCATTGAAGAATGCACTTCAGTGCTTGATGTCTGGAAGGTATCACTACTTGAATTGCTGGAGTAGAATCACGTTATTTTGGCTGCAAAAATCCAGGCAACCATTTGATGGTTGCAGAAATCCTTTAATATTGTGTATGGATCATCCTGATATTTGTGGTTCGGACATGACAATTGCAGCTTGGAGAGCTGGTTCCAGCAAGTGTAGATTATGGTTTGCTGATGTAATACTTTTCAAATATTTTGAAAATCCTAGAAAGTGTAGTTTCAAGATATCTGAAAGAAACCAGTTTGGGAAATTGCTGGGTACAGATCGACCTTCAGTCTAATGTTCATTTGTTTATTTTGGTCAAGTAGCACTCTGTTATAACTAGCATTTATTCTTTGTATTATTACTCTAGAATAGAAATGAGTAAGAATTTCAGATTTATTA